TCTTACAGAAACTAGAAAGAAGACATTTTTAGAAAGTAAAAGCCATTTGTTTTTGCCTTATTCCCAAATTAGAATCATATTTCAGATGAATAATTTAACTGATGACCTTCTCCATGACTATTCCTGAGTAAATGAGCCCCATTTTGTTCTTTTATTCTCATTCCTGGTCGAGTTCATTGTCAGGAAGGAGATAAGATCGCTCAACCTGCCTGCCCATGGCGAGGCATTTGGAGTCGAAGGGATTCAGGCTGGCGCTCCCACTGCGGGAGGCAATGGCTGTCCCACTGCGGGAGGCAGTGCGTGGTGTGGAGTTAGCCATGCTACACACACAGCTGGTGGGCTGCAGCTCAGGACCTCCCGTCTTGAAAGAGGTCTCTAGCTGCTGTTGTGAATAGCTGCTGCTCCCTGCCCCCAGCTGTCCTCCCGGGACCCTTCTTCCTCCCCCTTCTCCCAACTCCAATGATGGTGTAAGGCCTGGGTGGTGGCCATGTTCACCAGCCCACCAAAGTCTTGCCTGTGGCCTGCCTGTGCCCACACCATGGGAGGCCCTAGGTGGGCACCAGCAGAGGGCTGCCGCCGTGTTTGCCAGCTACTAGTCAGCCCCTAAAGTAGTAACCATGATAATAAGAAAAAGAAAACATTGTAAGTACATATTTAAAATGCCTATACTGATGCTCTTTTCATTGTAGCTTCTGATGGTTCTTGCTGTACAAGTGATTTCAGAAGAATTTTCTAACCTTCTTTCCAAATTACCTCCATTCCTTTCATTTAAAAAACCCAGCCCTAGTAATTTTGAAAATTGCCAAACTGAATATATCATTAATCATTGTGCTTAGTAAGATCTCTCATGCTAAATTTTAACCCAAAGCATTTTCAGTTTCTAAAACTACTTAGTTGAAAGTGTGCAGCTGAATATAAGTGCTGGTGTTTCTACTGCTGCAAATAAAAAGCAATAAGCACAAAGCTAATAGGTCAGTTTCTTTTGCTTTCAACTAATGCCTGGCAGGGGACCAGAGTCCACTCTTACCTAGGACACAGTTCTCTCTCGTCTGCAGTGCGTATCCCTAGTAAAGACCCTGCATTTATTTCACACGCATGATTTATTTTGTAACATACAGCAGTGTCATGTGCAATACAAGTAAAGAACATACAGTAGAGATCAGTGCTCAAAGTAAGAGATCAGCAGTGGGAATTAGAGCATTTTGTTAATATTGTTATCTTAGCCTTGGTTTTCATTAAAGCTCGTGGTTACGCTTTGTATAATGACACATCCCTATTGCGAATATTCACACTGAAGTTTGTTACCCTCCTTCTCAAGAAGGTTATGACCGTGCCTTCAGGAACGCTACGAGCTGCACATTGTTGAACGTGATGCTTGGGTTTTTGTTTTTCCCGACTTACTTTCCTAGGCTGATCCCGTTGAGAGCACACATGTACGGACCGAACGTCAAGACTGACACCCAGTCAAGGTCCACATCTCCTTCCACCGCTAGTGAAGCTGAGGCAGCGCAGGCCTCATTGGAGCAGCGTTGCTCCCAGCTTTGTCACTTGTGTCAGAAGAGGGAGCTGCATAACAAGTGAAATCGGGCTCTCTTCTTTCAGTCAGACACACTGTGTAATAAGTCACGTTGGAGATCATGACATTTGACTGAACATGCAGATGGGAGTATACAGCTGAAGTAGAAAATTGTCCCCCAGACGTCAGCTTGAAATAGCCAGGAAATTTGTTTAATCACGGTTAGCCTTTATTTTAGTGAAGAACAGTGTACAGCAAAGTTATGTACATTTGGAATTGTCATCTACAAACTGCAGGCTCCTGGCAGGGTCAGGTGCCATTCTGCCTCTTTATCAGTCTAACACGGCGGGACTTCGTGAGCAGAGCCCAGCATGAGAATTGCCCCTGCTGGCAGCTGCACAGTTTATTCCAGCTGCTGGGTTAGTAATGGGCATGCAGGTGACCCTGCCTTTTCCTAGTGCAGAAACCCTTGTATTTGCACTTCATGGCTCTGTCTCCGGAGTGTGAGGACCCAGGAGCAGGCTGGCTGAGTTCAAGTGTGGGCTGTACTCGGGTCTGACTAGGTTTTTGTCCAGCCCTGGGATGGCCTGTCTCAGGCTGGGTGGTGAGACCCTCTGCTTGCTTACTTTTAAAATATTTTAACTTTATACATTTTTATTTTTTGATGTTGAAATATTTCCGTCACATAAAGAGTAACAATAAACACTCATGTCACCACCATCCACAGATTTAACAGATGTGATCATGTTGTCTTATATTTTTCAAATTTGTATTCAAAGAAGAAAATAGATAACGGGGTTGAAACACCCTTCCCTCTTCCATCCCCATCTCTCCTCCCAGGCGTGTCTGAATACCCTGACGTTGAGTTGCATCCTCTCTTCCTTGGTTTTACATGTAACTGTTTTCATGCTTTTGAGGTTTACTCATACAGACACACGTCCATTTAGTTCAGACATTATAATTACTGCATCATATTTTACTGTAGGAATACACCGCAACTATTCTCCTGTTGTTGGATATGTAGGTTGTTTCCAATTTTTTGTTACTACAAGCAGAGCTGAACTGAACATCCTAATAGCGATCTGTGCAGTTTGTTAGCATATGAGCCTGCAAGTGGAATTGCTGGGTTGTGTGCTACATGCATTTTCAACTTGGACTAGGTCTTGCCCAGTGGTCCGACCTGTTTCCACTCCCACCAGCAGGGTGTGTTCCCCTTTCCCACACCCTCGCCAGGCCTTTGTACACCGTACATGTCTGTAGCCGCTGTGGAGATGGTTTCCATTTTGGTCGCGTGGTAGTTAACTGGTTAACTTTCGCCAATTCGTTGTATGTGGAGTGGCATTTTTGTTTTAATTTGCATTTTCTGATTTCAAGTGTTTTTGAGCATCTTTTTATATAGTATATTGGTCATTGGTGATTTGCCTGTTCATGTCTTTTGTCCGTTGTTCTGTTGAATTATTTTTTCTATTATTTTGTAATTATTCTGTATATATTCTGGATATTAATCTTTAGCTGGCTATATGCATTGCAGATATTTTCTACTAGTCTGTGGCTTATTTTTAAATGTTATTTGTGGTATTTTTTTGTCTTGCAACAATTTTTATTTTAAAATAGCCATATTTATCAATCTTTTTCTTTATGAATTCTGCTTTTTGTCTTTTTAAAACATGTCTTCCCTTCGCAGCAATTATAAAACGTTTCCTCCATATTTTCTTCTAAAAGCTAAAAAAAAATTCTTAAAATGTTTAGGACTTTAATCAAACTGAAATTTATTATTGCATATTATAGGAAATGAAGTTCTAATCTATTTTTCTCATATGAACAACCAACTGTCCTATATTTCCCCCATTGACTTTTAAAACTGTCTCTGCTTTACATGAATGGGTCTGTTTGAGGGTTCTTTATTCTCTTCCATTGTTCGTTTTGTCTTTTTCTGCACCAGCAGTTCATTGTCCTAATTACTCTAGCCCTGAAATAGTTCCTGATACCTGGCATGGGATCCCACTCCCACTCCCACCTCTTAGTCTTCTTCCTTTACTTTGTGACTCTTTAGTTTTACATATGACATTTAGGATCAGTTTGTCAGATGCCAGGTGGGGCTTTGAATTGGATTTGAATTGCAGATTACCTGAGGAGAATTGCCATGTTCGTGATGTTGGGTCTTTCCATCCATGAACATGGTATACATACTTAGATATTCTTTTATTTTCTTCAGTAAGTTATATTTCACGGTATACTCCATATTGCCTGCTGGGTTTCTTGCTAGGAACCTTCAAGCCTTTGTAGCTCCAGTGAATGGGATCTTTTCTAAAATATGTTTTATTAATTAGGCATTGCTGGCCTTTATGAATTCTGTCGTTCTTATATCCAGCACCCTCGCTTCACTCCTTTTAATTCTAAAAACTTCTCCTGGACTTTTTATGTAAATTCTAATGACAATTTTATTTCGTATGAATTATTTTTATTAACTTTTATAAAGGTCTTCAGTGATCTTTTTCATATTTGCCTTTTTAAATGTTAAATTATAAATTGGATTAAGAACTTTTTCAAGTTATTTAAATGTAAGTTAGAGTTAAATTCACAATGAAGTAGAAAACTCTTAGAAACTTAACTGAATTCCATTTTAAGGTTTTAATATATTCAAAATATTCTGATTTTGGAGGTTGTATACTAACAAAAGCCAACGAGAGCCCATCCATTTTTCTCTTAATATTTTAGAATGTTCTATACCTTTATATAAAGCTAGCTTTTTCCTCTCGTTTGCTTGCTTAACATCCTAATAGGAAGTCATTTGTCACGGCTTTTTTTACACTTTGCTAATCAAGTGATATCCAGTAAAATCACTGTTTCCTTTTATTCAAGGAAATATCTTACAAGTCCCCATAAAATAAAGATATGGCTTGTAACTAAATTTAGGTATAAATTCTGGATCCCAAGGGTAATAATCTAACTACCTTCTTTGGAAAGTAATTTCTGCACAGAAATTCCACTAATCATTCAATCTCTGTCCCTCTCTCACTAATATATTAAAAATCCACAGAATTGTATTTCATATATGTAATATGCATTCGCATATAGAAGTCAAGGAGTTAAAAGAATCTTCTAAGTATTTTGATCATAAATTTTGCTAAAAACTCTTTCAGATGCTTTTTAGAATTAATGTGGCATTTTTAGGTGAACGTGAAAATGAATATCCTCATTTTTATGTAGGCTACATGCTGTGCCATTTTTTGTGTTCTTTGGTGGATTCTCTTTTCCAAATTCTTTATATTTCCAAACTGAAATAATTTTACTAATATTTCACTTGTAGATATTGCAGACAGAAATTTAAATTATCAACATTATGAGAATTTTAGCTTCATTGAGATCTATTTTGCCTTATTGATGTTTTCCTTGGCTTTATTTACTTTTATATATTTCTAGTAATGCTAGAAATGGATGGAGTTTCTTTTAACATTTATTTCCTTTTTGCCCCTGGATTCAGACTGTAGACAGTTCTCCACTTCCTGTTCACACACCGACCTTAAAGAAAAAGGCATGCTCTGGTTCAACTGGCTTTCCGTCTAAGGTACGGTCTGGTTCCAGCCTGTGTGTTCTGGGGGGAAAGAAAGGAAGAAAATGGGTTTCTTCTGCTTTCTTATATTTCCTGTGAGATATATATACATATATATATTGCTATTGGTTTCCTTAAAATTACAAACATGAAAGCTTTGAAAGAAAATAAATTCTGTATGAATGGAAATAATCACCATTGAGAAAGGTAAAAGGAGTGTCCAAAGTTTGTGTTGTTGTTCTTACATCTTTTTTTTTTTTAATATCTTTTTATTGACTTCAGAGGGAAGGGAGAGGGAGAGAGCGGTAGAAACATCAATGATGAGAGAGAATCATTGGTCGGCTGCCTCCTGCACATCCCCTGCTGGGGATCGAGCCCACAGCCGGGCATGTGCCCTTGACCAGAATCAAACCTGGGACCCTTCATCTGCAGGCAGACACTCTGTCAACTGAGCCAAACCGGCTAGGGCTTCCATTTTCTTAAATTCAGTGTTCTGAAGTCTGTTAGAGCAAGGAGGAATGCTTGGAGGATGTAGTCTAAGGCTGGTATGAAGGTGAGGTCACTTTTGGAAGAATCTAAGGTTGAGGTTAATAAAGCACACACACACACACACACACACACACAAAGATTTAGTGAAAAATTCAGGTGAACTTTCATCTTTTCATTCTATTTAATGTGACTGTGACTGAAGTGTTGTATATGGTAGAACATGCAGATTTAATTGCTTATCTCAAGCCCCTACAAAGAAATTCTAGAAATTGGAAAACTGAAAGGATTAAAAAATGTTAGCACTAGCAGATTTACTCTTGACGGTTCCTTAAAGAGCAAAAACTTAAGAGTAAAAATTAGTGTTTAGGAGAAACGTTGAGCAAAATTTTATATGATGCCAATAAATTAGGTTCTTATATTTTATTCACAGGCACGGATGCCCCTCGTCTTGACCTAACCATGTCTTCTGTAGTCCTGGGTCTTTTTAGGATCATATTCTGCCTGTTTTTATATGATGAGACTTTGAGAGATGGCAGAGTCAGACAGAAACCTATCTATTGTCTCTGAGTCTGAGTTTCTTCATCTGTCCGAGGAAATAATACCTGTCTTTCTGGCGCTGTGTCCCTCACATCAGATGATGCCTGTGAGGCACTGGCATAGTGTCTGCACCTGCGTCAGTGCCTGGTCCGCATCAGCCATCGCAGGAGGTAGCATGTAGTAACCTGTCCCGTTCAGAACAGATCACATCCCAGTTCCTCTTTGGAATGACCAGGGTCCTGAGGAACTTCTGGAATAGAGTGGTTTGATTGCTCTAAATTTGGGAGTCTCACCTCATTCCAAGTCCCCAATGCTCTGGTAGTCAGTTCATTTTATATAAAATGATTTCTTAGTTTTTATTTTTTAAATAAGTTTCTATTAATTTTAGAGATAGAAAGAGAAAGGCAAAGAGAGATAGAAACATCACTGATGAAAGAGAATCATTGATTGGCTGCCTCCTGCCCACCCCTACTGAGGATCGAGCCCACAACCCGGGCATGTGCCCTGGCCAGGAATTGAACCAGTGACTTTTTGGTTCCTTAGATGATGCTCAGCTAACTGAGCCACTATGGCCAGGCAATGATTTCTTGTGTTTTTTTAAAGAATTTCTTCTGTGGTATGTAAATTCCATATCGCAATTGAGAAAAGTAAAATATATTTTTAACTTAAATTTTAAAGCTTTGAATATTCTCTTTAGTTTTTTTATGAGAAGTTGTCTCAACTGGAGTAAATACTACTTCATAACCATTTTTTCATCAGTATTCACATATTATTGGAATATAGAATAAAGTTCTTACTAGTTTACCTGAATCACACTTACCAAAGAGAAGTAATGAGAAAAGGGAGACACGAAGGAATTAAGTAATTTGCTTCTGAGTTCACATAATGAGTGAAGGAAGGGCAGTTATAATGCATTCATTCCTGAAACATGCTGAGACTTAGTTAGGAGAGGGAAGGAGGGTTCTGGAGAACTAAGTTCTTACATGGATTTACCATCACATGGCTCAAGACAAGACTGGGAGAATTTTAACTTCTGGGTTTTCAGTAAGAAATTTTAGGCTGCCATCTGTCTCTAGAATAATATGTATGTATTTTCGCCTGGGCAAGTGTAATACTGCCTGCTCCCATGGGAGGAAACAGATTTGTTAAGCAGATGATTTGTTCTTGGTCCCAGAAAAATCAAATACATGATGTATAGTAAGGCTAGAATTTTTTATTACTCTTTGTTCTTCCTGAAGAGGTCTGAATGCATGTTAAATTTCTTTATTTCTATAGGTATAAACATGCAAGATTTCACTTAACTCTGCTAAAGAATAATTTGAAGAATTGATAAAAATCCTGAAATCAAAATTTTAATTATAAAATTTTAGTTATAAAAGCTAGTTTATAACTTTTCAAGTGTCAGTTCAAGAGCAATTGATTATCATAACTTATTTTAGCATAATCCAGCTCAATATTGCCTAATAAAAATATTTAAAGAGCATAGATTATAGAACTATATGGTGAGAAAGGAAAATAATTCATTTTACTCCTATAAAGAAACTTTCCAGTAGCTGGTGTGGGGCCCAGAGATTCATCATATGAAGATTCTTTAAATAACCAATGTGTATGTTTTTGTTGTTGTTTTTGTTTTTTCTTATGACACTGATGTATTTATTTCCTGTCATTTTTTAAATCTTTTTCATTTATTACTAATAAAAACTATCCACATACACACCGTGTATTCTTAAAGAGAAATGTTTGTAAAAGTCAGCCATAAAACATCTATTTATAATTTAAGAAAACAACACACAATTTATATACAAATCCAATAGATGTTTTAAATCATAATACAGAAGATTTTATATTCTCATAAAATATTTTCTGTGTTTGATGCAGTAAAACAGTTAAATTTAAACCTATATTTAAAAAGCACATTCAGTCATTTAATTAGATATCTATATATAAAAGCCCAGCAACCAGAACAGTGGAACCATCGGAACAGCCGGTGGCTATGAAGCGCACTGTGGCAGCCAACTGGCCTGCTCCGGGCCCCGATCAGGGGTGGGACTGGCTGTCCAACCTCTGGCAGCCCCTCTCCCCTGCCCGGCCTAATGGCCCCCATCGGGGCGGGTCAGCCGGACCCCACCTGTGCATCAATTCATGCACCGGGCCTCTAGTTATGTAATATGTCACTTTGATGTTACATTTTTGGACTAGTAAACACTATGTGTATGTTTCTATCCATTTGCTTTGCAGCGCAAGACTCATCAGTTTTTTGTCAAATCTTTTACTGCTCCCACCAAGTGTCACCAGTGCACCTCTTTGATGGTGGGCCTGATCCGACAGGGCTGCTCCTGTGAAGGTAAGAATAAGATGGTAAGAAAGTGTGACTTCAGAGCCCTAACAGCTGCCGCCTAACTGTAACCAGGGAACTATTCTTTTCATAAGGTTTATAAACATTTGTTTTACTTAATCATTTGCTTTTCTTTGCATAACAGGAATAGAGACAATAAAATGAGCACCTTGCGAAAGTCTGTTGAATATCAGAGAAACTAGATGGATAGTCCCCAGAAACATTTTTCAAGGGAGATATTTAAATGTCTTATTCATCTTTATTATTCAGATGATTTAGTGGTTTCGAAAAACCATTAATATATGTGGCAAAAGACATGAAAGTTATCTTTGAATCTGTTCATTTAATTTTAACCTTGTTTAATTGATCAGATAAATTGTTATTGGAAGGTAGACAATGCAGTATCTTTTTAGAAATATTAAATGTCTGCCACTATGCCTCAAAGGTATTTTATTTCTAGTATTACCAGCAGAGATTGTCCCTACCATTCACTGATTCATCCGTCACTTTATGGAATGGCCGCTCTGTGCTTCTGGGCACTGGGCATGCAATGGTGGATGAGGCATAGGGGGGTGTGGGGTGTGGAACACAGAGCCTGCCCTCACGGAGCCCACATTCTGAGAGATGAGAGAGCAGAGGTGGTTTGAAAAGAAAACAGTGTATTTATTTGGGCATCACTTTATTTTTCCTATGACTTCGGAAATGAAAATGATCTAAATTATAATGGGATATAGTATTTGTGTATATTTTAGAAATATGCTTTTTTACAATCACGAGACTTGCAACTATACCAATACCTCATATATAATTTACCGCTCACTGTGAAAAAGATAAGGAAATTGGTACTGATTCAAATTCTGACATAGTTCCTGTTTCTTGCCATTAGGGTTGGGAGGGACCTTGAAGGAAGGTTTTCAGTCTCCAGCAGTTGCGCATAGAGGACCCTTATAGAGGGCCCTGGTAGAGGACTCTGGTAGAGGGCCCTGGTAGAGGACTCTGGTAGAGGACCCTGGTAGAGAGCTCTGGTAAAGGGCTCTTGTAGAGGACCCTGGTAGAGGGCCCTGGTAGAGGGCCCTGGTAGTGGGCCCTGGTAGAGGACCCTGGTAGTGGGCCTGAGTGAATACTTTGGATAAAGGGGAAATTAGTAGCGTCCACGCAATGCATTCTGTGTTTGGTTAGTTCTCCCAACCAAAGTGGCAAATCTCAATTGCATTATCTTAATTAGTTTGTTAGATGCATGAGTTTAGAGCCAAAGAAAATGGTCAGTTTGGAAAGTGGAGATTTGAGAGTTTTGAGTGAATGAAATGATGGATAATGACTGACATTGAAATTCTTACTGTTACGTAAATAAATCAGCCCCCCCAAATGACAAAATAGTTTTTGAGAATAAGTTCAGAGAGAAGCATTCATTTACCTTGCTTGTAATGAATTCTTGGTGGATTTTCTTTTTGTAAAATGAATTTTTATTGAACTTTGTTTCTTTTATGTCCTTCCAAAAGTGTGTGGATTCTCGTGTCATATAACTTGCGTAAACAAAGCTCCCACCGCGTGTCCAGTTCCTCCTGAACAGACTAAAGGTCCCCTGGGGATAGATCCTCAGAAAGGGATAGGAACAGCCTATGAAGGCCATGTCAGGGTAAGTGTCGTTTGGTTGGGTTTAGATTAATCTTTTAAGGTTCATTAATGGATTAAAATGCAGTCCAGTCACCTTACAAACACAGTCCTTAACAGAAAATTAAATGAATAAAATTTACCTAATAATTTTATTTCACCCAAGTAATGATTTGAAAACAAAAACCTTGTCTTTGCTTGGAAATCAGTTATAAAATGTCTCAAAATTTTCCACTCAGTCTTTATCTTGTCATGAACAAATGTTGGAATCTCCATAAAAAGGGTCTTCAGCTCTTGGCCTTGTGGAGAGGTGGCTTATGCTTATGACGTATGAGATAGTGTCAAGGCATGATCGTACTTGTAATCTTAATGACATCTGAAGTGTAAGCTGCATTCCGTCTCACTACCAATCTGACTTTTATGCTATTTAGAAAGAAATCCATGAATGTTTAGTTAATTACTAGTGAACGTTAAAATGGTGCCATTTAACAATGTTTAGAATATAAAGTCCTTCGGTGATTGAAGGGTGTCCTCTCACAGTTTATGAATGATGTGTGTGTTCCACCTGCTCCTTTACCGGCCGGAGTGACAGGCTTCGCGGGTGCATGTTCTCTTCAGTTTGCACACGCAGGTGCACGTGTAACTACATGGGCGCTGGGTGACATTTTGGTGTGAGTTGTTTTCTTTGTGTGTTTGCCTCAGATCCCTAAGCCAGCTGGTGTGAAGAAAGGATGGCAAAGAGCATTGGCTGTAGTTTGTGACTTCAAACTCTTCCTGTACGATGTTGCCGAGGGAAAGGCATCGCAGCCCAGCGTTGTAGTCAGCCAAGTGATTGACATGAGGTAAGCTTTCAGAGGGGAAAATATTGGCATCTTTGCAACATGGGGATCAAAAATGTGTGATTTTTCTTCTAATTATGTTACCATGTTTTTATTTAAATCTCATTTCATGTTAATTTTCTAATTTACTAACGTTGCTATCCTATTTAATAAAAGCCTAATATGCAAATTATCCCTTTGACCTGGAGTTCGACCAGGGGGCAGGGCCAGTTGGCCAACTGCCCGTGGCCCATCCCCCGGCCAGCAAGACTCCACCCATGCACAAATTCGTGCACCAGGCCTGTAGTAGTACAATAATTAAAAATAGGAAGTAAGATGTAGTTATAGGACAGGTTTAGGGGGGATTGGGGGTCAGAGAGAATAAGCTAATGTTTGCATCCAAAGGACTAGTTTAAAGGTTGCTAAGGTATTGGAAGCCTACTGCGTAGTGTTCATATCATCACCTAAAAGCTTAGAATATAACTTCCATGTAGGAAAGGAAATAAAAATCTCAAAGTCATATAGACTCTTGGAATATGTAACACATTGGTAAACATTTACATAAACACATCGTGACTGTTTCCGGCCTCACTTTTCAGGTCTCATCCTGCCCCTTCAGTGCCCTCCTTTCCTCTTAGAGCTCTAGCCCTTCTCCTGGGGTCCCCTCACTAACTCTCATAGCTCCCACCACAGCAGCGTTGCCGACTCCCACACTCGTATCTCCAGTCCAGGTCTTCCTCCAGCACTCAGAGCTGGGCTTTCCAACTCGGGCTCACACTAGCATCTCATACCAGCATCTCTAACATATTCCATATCTTTCCCATAAATATGGAATAGGAAGGAATAAACTCAAGACAAATTAGCAAGGAAAATCTGGCAGTGTCTGCTAAGGGCCTAAATATAGAAAGAGGGAGATAGATGAAAGATAACACTAAGGTGTCAAGTCTCTAAAACCAAGGTGATGATGGTACCAATAACCAAATTCAGGAATAAATTGTTGTGGAGCAAATCTGTTGTAGGTGTTGACGGAACAGTAAAATGACAGATGAGCTGTGTTGAGGGCACTTGAGGTATATCATGGGAGGCAAGAGGGTTCAGGTTCATTTCGAATCCCAGTACCTTGTTCCTACTGGCTTGGCACTTTGGGTGAGCCGGGAGTTATTCCTAGCTCTTGTGTAATGTGCCACTGTAATGCTACTGATCAATTATTATGGCACTATCAGTTGAAATGGAGGGAAAATAAAATTTTTAAAGAATTCAATTTGGATGTTTTGGGCAATTCAGTTTTGAGTGTTGTTTCATATGTATTATTTGGATATACACCCAAGACCACACACATACCCCCACACACTGATTTTTAACATTTCACTTTCCTTCAGGGATGAAGAATTTTCTGTGAGTTCAGTCTTGGCTTCTGATGTTATTCATGCAAGTCGAAAAGATATACCCTGTATATTTAGAGTAAGTATGTGTGTTATAGTTTGATGACTAAATTAATTGTTTTTAATGAGTATATGTTTTGGCTCTCCAATACTTGAGTGAGTAGATAAATAGTGCTAAGTAAATATTTAAATTTGAGAGACCTGAGGAAAGCATTACTGTATAGCTTCTAAGTTAGGTTTCCTCTTGGATAATATTTTTGCGTCACAATTGAATTTTCAAACAAATACTGTCGCACAGAAAATTAAGTGTGAGTTACCCAATTTTTTTAAAAAATGGAAGTTTTTTCTTTTTAACTTCATTTTAAAAATTAACATGTTTCCAGTTTTACTGCTTTGCAACAACCACTCCAGAACTTAGTGGCTTCAAGTAGCAGTGGTTTGTTCCCAGCATATTCTGTGGGTCAGCTCTGCAGTTGTTTTGCTGTTGCCCGGGGCCCCTCATGTGGCTGCATTCAGCTCATTTAGGGCTGGAAGCTCCAAAATGGCCTCCTCTTCACATCTGGGGTGCTGGTGCTGTCTGTGGGCCGGGCGGTCAGTTCCCTCTGTGAACTCTCTGTGGTCTCTAGTCGTTCAGTAGGCTGTCCGAGCTCTCCGGGGCTGGCTTCCAGGAGAGCAATGGGGCCTTTTCAGGCCTTCTGAAGTGTAGACCCCAAAAGACATAATAATCCTCTTGCTGTCTGTTAGTCAAAGCAAGTCATGAGGTCAGCCTGGCCTTAAGGGGAGGGAATAGATGCCCCTTTTAAAAAATATATATTTTTTTATTGATTTCAGAGAGGAAGGGAGAGGGAGAGAGAGATAGAAATTTCAGTGATGAGAGAGAATCATTGATTGACTGCTTCTTGCACGCCCCCTACTGGGGATCAAGCCAGCAGCCCCACGCATGTGCCCTTGACTGGATTCGAACCTGGGACCCTTCAGTCCACAGGCTGACGCTCTATCCACTGAGCAAAACCAGCTAAGACTAGATTCCATTTTTTGATAAGAAGAATGGAATTCCATGGGAAGATTGTTGGTACCTATCTTTGGAAGCTGTTCACAGTGCAATCTAGTATTGGTGAATTAAGATAAAAGAGGTAAAAAAAAAGGGTGGGGGGGAACTGGCCCAACCTTATGCCTGTAGGCTTAGTATTTGTCAATGAGTCTTGTATCTAAGGAAGGTCAGACAAAGACTATACAGTACTTTGTCTCAGTTCCTAAAACAACAACTCTGCTATCTCCAGCCTCCTATGGAGCCTACAGAAGCCCACTTTTCTGTAATTGATACATAGTGGGATTTTATTTTCATGCTGTTTAAATTATAAACGGTCCATATATATGTAATTGAAATCTGCCCAGTTATAAATGCTGTTTTCATAATGATAAGCTTCATTTAAATAGTAACTAAAGGATCTATCTTCTTTAAGATAATGTGAGTTATTGTTATGGAATAACAGAATGTAAGTATTTCTGAGCATTTCTGACTTTTAAAAAAAGTTGAAAATCAGTATAATATAGTGTTTACGAGCATGGACAGGGACCCCACTTTTGTTGTGTGCCCTTGGGGAAATTAATTTCTCTGCATCACAGTGTTTTATGTATAAGGTCAGGATTAATAACAATAATTACCTTATGAAGATGTTGAGAGGGTTATGTGAGTGAATACTTGTAAAGTACTTTGATCAATGCCCAGAGATCAATAATTACTCAAAAATGTCAGTTGCATTTTCTAGTGATAGTATTCTGGCACTGTATACAAAGAAAAAAAAAATGATACTAACATTTAGAATGGTATCTGCTACCTTTGCTTTACCACGAATTCTAATGCTGAAACTAATTATTCTTCTCATTAGGAATAGCTGTCCGCTGCTAAAGGTACCACTTCATGGACGCTCATTTTGTTGGCTAGTGCAGCGGTCGCCAACCGGTGGTTCGCGGACCACTGGTGGTCCATGAGGTCTGAAAGGTTGGCGACCGCTGGCTAGTGCTAAGCAAACTAATCTAAGCATAAAACTGACCTAAAGGGTGTCTGTTTTCTAACATCATGAATTTTGTTTCAATTTTTCTAGGTCACAATGTCCCAGCTCTCAGCACCTAATAACAAATGCTCAATCCTGATGCTGGCAGATAGTGAGAATGAGAAGAGCAAGTGGGTGGGAGTGCTGAGTGAATTACAGAAAATTTTGAAGAAAAACAAATTCAGAGACCGCTCCGTGTATGTTCCCAAAGAGGCTTATGACAGCACGCTGCCCCTCATCAAAACGACCCAGGCCGCTGCAATCATAGGTACGCATTGATAGCATCGGTCATGTGATCACGTTGTTTCCTCACTTACCTGGTCAGTGGGGACTGCTTCCGTCTAGGAATTCCAGTGTCCAACCTGGTATGTGTTAAGTCACAGGTACACAGTGTTTATTGGATGAATGAGACCATTTTAAGCTTTGTTTCTCAGTAAACCAGAGTAAGTCCACTTTCAAATATGTTTTCTTCTGACAAAAGCAGCCGTGCTAAAGTTTAACTTCGAACATATCTATCCTCTGCATGTGCGGTTGAGAACAGTTGTTTCGTTTCTTAAAGCATAACCTTCCGTGTACAATGTGGATGCCAGTTACCTTGCAGAGGTTATTGGGAAGTTTAACTGAGATGCAGGGCAGAACAGAATGCCCTTGTACATCAGATGCCCTAAACAATGGCAGCCTTTGTGTCTGGAAGTTCAAATTACCACCATATTCTTATGTACACATCTAACTCTTCTGTTACTTCCTAGTAAATAATAAAAAGTTGAATGAGTAGGGTTCAAATGCCTTTCACCTTTTATTGAATAAACATTTGCTTCTTTTGTAAATATTGATGTAGATAATTTTCTGATGATGATTCTATTAAAAAAGAAATGAGCCCTAGCCGGTTTGGCTCGGTGAATAGAGCGTCGGCCTGCGGACTCAAGGGTCCCAGGTTCAATTCCGGTCAAGGGCATGTACCTTGGTTGCGGGCACTTCCCCAGTAGGGAGTGTGCAGGAGGCAGCTGATCGATGTTCTCTCTCATTGATGTTTCTAGCTCTCTATCCCTCTCCCTTCCTCTCTGTAAAAATTCAATAAAAAAATATATTTTAAAAAAAAGAAATGAATGGAAATTTAATAGTAAAAATGGTTATTGCTATTTTTATATTGTTTATTTCAGGGTTTTACATCAAATTTATTTGTTATCTATTTTCTATTATTTTACATAGTTTTTACCTAATAAAAATGTTTCATATTTATTTATATCTTGCATAGATCATGAAAGGATAGCTTTGGGAAATGAAGAAGGTTTATTTGTTGTGCATGTCACCAAAGATGGTAAGAAAAAAATTATTGTGGGGTAACTTTAACCTGTATGCTGCTAGAAAATTCTAAACTCTAGTCTCTAAATTCTATAAACAGCAGGATTTGCTTACTTTTTCTATAATTGAAATTTTCCACACCTAATTTGATATGTTTATAAGTCAAAAGATAATTTTTTAACTTCTATAATCATCCTGAGTTCTAAAACATCCACGTATGGACCCTTGTTCTTGCGGGACTAAGTTCTGCTATAGGGCTCAGGTTGCACTTCTAAAGAAGGTGCTGAAAGAAAACGCACTTGCTTTTTCCCTTGTCCCAGTAGCTCTCGAAGAGGTAGCTCATTGAAATGTGCTTGTTGTTGGGGGTTTTTCCCCATAGTTTATTACAAAGGTCTTTTTCTAAAGATAAATTAAATACTGGGTGAAATAAAAAGAAACCAATTTAATTTAGCATTCTTGAATACAGAGCTCTAAGTTCTGTATTTATATCAAGTTAGTTCATGAGAAAATAATGCACTTAAACTTCATTAGTTTGTTACCCATACAAACACTTTTAGTGAAATATGAGTTACTTAAAAAAACAAAACAAACAAACAAACAAAACAACAAACCCCATAGTAAAAAGTTCCCTGAAACTCAGTGCCAGTAAAGAGGTTTATTGTTGTTACTGTTTTTGAAGATCTGGCATGCCTCATCACATGGCAGCTTTATGCCTTGGCTGCGAGAGGTCTCGGCGCTGAATTTAATACTTTACGGGAGTGAGTTAATTGTCTTGTACTGGGTGCAATTATCTTCCTCGTCCTCTGTGATTTCTGAGCTGTTATTCTTTTCTGTATGTGTACCTGTCTTTATTATAGGTTGACATACATCCTTTTGAGTATAACTGGGTTATGATTAATAAATAAACAACATTATTTTGCATCTGACTTATTATTTCTTTGCATAGAAATTATCCGAGTTGGTGACAATAAGAAGATTCATCAGATTGAACTCATTCCAAATGATCAGCTCGTTGCTGTGATCTCAGGACGAAACCGTCATGTACGACTTTTTCCTATGTCAGCTTTGGACGGACGAGAGACTGAGTTTTACAAGCTGGCGGAAACTAAAGGGTGTCAGACCATAACTTCTGGGAAACTGCGTCATGGCACTCTCACCTGCCTGTGTGTGGCGATGAAAAGGCAGGTCCTCTGTTACGAACTATTTCAGAGCAAGACCCGTCACAGAAAATTTAAGGAAATCCAAGTCCCGGGTAACGTCCAGTGGATGGCAGTCTTCAGTGAGCACCTCTGTGTGGGATTCCAGTCGGGATTTCAGAGGTACCCCTTGAATGGAGAAGGAACTCCGTGCAGTATGCTCCATTCCAATGACCACACGCTGGCCTTTGTCACGCACCAGCCCCTGGACGCCATCTGCGCCGTGGAGATCTCCAGCAAAGAATTCCTACTGTGTTTTAGCAGCATCGGGCTCTACACCGACTGCCAGGGCCGCAGGTCGAGGCAGCAGGAGCTGACGTGGCCCGCTAACCCTTCCTCCTGTTGTGAGTCTCTTCCTTTCGGCTTTCTTCTCTTTCTCTTTCTTCTCCCTCTACTCCATCTCCTAGATGTATTTATTGGTAATAACTGGTCATTTTTAAGCCATCTGTAAGGTCTTTCCTAAGTATTAAGTTATTTATGTAAAGTAACCATGTGTAGTTAAGCCTAGGACAACAGTATCAACATTAACATGCCAATAATTAAAGCTAATTTTTCTATGGAATATTATACTTAGGTGGATTTTTTAACCCATGTTGTTGTATTTTGAAAAAACCTAAATTGTATCTTTGTGGTCCTCAAAAATAGTGTGATTATTAATAGCTGATAAGACTTCCTCTGGAGAAGTTGTGTTACTAAGTGTGTTAATCAGTTACGTAAAGAATAGTGTAGCATCTATAAGAAGTGATATTCAGTTTTACATTTTTATTTAGGTAGGTATATATTAAAAAATTGTTTATTTCACTCTTTGAGGAAATGTTATGACATTAATACGTTTTGGAATCTTCATTGTATGCATTTCACTCCCTGTGATACAATAAGTAGGAGTATCCAACCCAGAACCTTTTGTTTTTAGTGGAAGGTACTTGAGCACATTTAAATGCCGAAAGGAAGTAGCCACTAGGTGGCTCTATAGTAAATACAGGAATGGGAGTGAGACCCTAAGGCGGCCATAGGCTGGGAGGTAGATGGGGAGGATGCGGGCAGCAGGAGGACAGCGCCTCCCCCACAACAGGACAGGAGGGCGGGGGAGCACGGGCGCCT